AGACAGTATGGGCTTGCTCTGTGCCTAATTTGTAGAAGGCTGGTCAAATAGTTTCAAAGATCTAATTTCTAATTTAAAAAACCATCCCAACCCTCCCTAACACATTCAGCTCATAGTATTTTATTTATTTATTCATTCATTCATTCATTCATTCATTCATTCATTCATTCATTCATTTAATTGGATTTATACCCTGCCCATCTAGACCAATAGTCTACTCTGGGCAGCATTACAAAATTTAAAAACAATAGAATCAATAAACATGCAAAAATCCAAGATGTGAAAATGTAAATATTAAGATACTGCAGGAGGGAAAGCTTGCCTAAATAGCCATGTCTTAAGTTTACTTCTAAAGACACCGAGAGAGGGAGCCAGGGGGATCTCTATGGACAAGTTGTTCCAGAGGCAAGGGGCCACTGCCGAGAAGGCCCAGTTCCTCGTTCTTTCCTGCCGGGCCTCCCTCAGCGTGTCTTGTAATTGTTTAAATGCTTACCACTGCTTTCCTGCTACTCATACAAGCTTTTAAAAAATTGAACTTGATCCATCATGTCATTAGAAGAAACAAGATATTAAATGTTGATTATTATGCATAGGAAAATTTTCATAATTTCTCTTTGCACATGCTTATTGAAGTATTTCTCAGATATTGCCCACATTTCTTGCCAGTACTTTAGGAAACTAGCGAGTCTCATTGGAGTGAATGGGGCTTTTTTCTGAGCAAGATAATAGATTGGGACTTTAGCATTATTAAGACATGTAGGCCTTTGGAGAAATAAGTACACACAATAAACAGAGAAGCAAGGGTATGGGAGGAAGAGAGGAGTGATAGAAAGAGACAGGATGCGGAGAGAGAGGAGGAGATAGAGAGAGAGGAAGGAGGAGTGGGGGGGAGATAGAAAAGCCAGAGTGAAAAATTGGGGACAAACAGAGAGAAACCATTGAGAAAGGGATAGGAAACAAAGGGGACGGAGGAAGCACAGACAGAAGAAGCCACTGAGGAAAATAGGAAAGAGGCAGGGGGAATTGGGAAGAGAGTTAACCACCAGTGAGGGAGAGGGAGAGGCCATGGAAAAGGCAGAGGAGCTAGTTGGGAGAAACACACACACACACCACACCCCCAAGAGAGAGAGAGAGAGAGAGAGAGAGAGCATTGAGATTGCCTTGTGCCCCAAGCTGTAGATACTAGAGAATGTGTAGACAAACAGCCAAGACTATTGCTTTTTGTTTGAGTAAGAATTGATTAACTGTGGGAAAATAAGTTCAGGTTCTAGGATTTTCCCTTGATTTGTATCTCTTTGCAAACGTAGCCCGTCTTGATGGCTGACGCTGGTGTCATCAGCATTCAAATCTTTGCCAACTTGGCATCCTCTTTCCTGCTGACAGCATGGACACATTATTGCAAGACATTATTATTTTTGATTCCTAGTATTATAAATGCACGTAGCCGTCTAGAGTGGTCTTAATCAACTAGATAGGTGGGATATAAATAAATAGATAGATAGATAGATAGATAGATAGATAGATAGATAGATAGATAGATAGATAGATAGATTTGTTAGGAGAGGCAAAACATGGCATTATTATAGGTTTTAAGTTTTCCTTCTTAAAGCAGTTAATCTGTCTGGCGGAAAACCTTATCATGTTGCTTCTCTGTGCTCTGTATTGATACATCTTTGACAGCTTGTTATTTGTGCTCACTCCCTGCAATTCACACTGTTCCAAAAATGTTTAGCTAGGGAAAGTGCAGGAATGGCTACTAGCAGCAGCAGGTAATAAAGTGTCTTTAGATCAGCTGCAATTATTCTTGTCAGAGGATTGTTCATTGAGAGAGATTGGTTTGCTGGCACGTTGGCAATCCCATTCCCTTGGCTTTTTCCCATTTAGAAAACTTGCTTTAAACTTAACAAGGAAAGCATTTCAGACCTTTTGCTAACTTCTTAATGAATCATCTGGCATTCCCTTGAGTAGAGTCCAACTTGCAAAAGATGTGGAATATTGCTTTCTGTGTGAATTATGTGCTCTAGTTTCAAGCTATTATAATTTATAAAGTCCTGCCTAGTGAAAATGCAAACAAAGCTGTGTCTCTAGGGCATGTAGAAAGACAGTGCTGCACATTACAATCAGCTTCTTCTGAAGATTCGTTTAATGTCTTGTTGTGATCTTTTGTGGTGGGGGGAAAATAGTATTACTTCTCAGATACATTATTCATGTGCATAGATGCATGGGGAGAGATTACTGAATTGTGATTTCTGTGGAAAGCTACTGTTGAGAATTGGTGTGTGCATTATTTATATTTGTGCAGTAGGTCTTCAGTGCATAACAAAGACATAAAATGAACAAGACAGCCTGTGGGGGGGGAGCAGCAGACTGCTTTGCTCCTTCCTTGGAAGAAAAAAAGATCTTTTTTCATTTAACCCAAATCTTTACATCTCTAAGTACTTGAGCACCTGGTTGCTGAATAATAAATACATATTTTGCACATTCATCTATTGAGATAAATATACTAGTAATAGAAAATCAACATGGAAAACTTGTTATGCTTGCTTACTTTGGCTTGAAATGGCAGACATTTTTATTTGCTTTGCCTTATAAGAACATGTAAAGATGTGGGTTAGTACAGCATGTAACATGGGCATATGATAATATTTAATGTCTAAGGGGAGAAATTTCCATCCCATCCTCTTGCCTGGAAGCCATAAACTGAAAGATGGATGTTTCTGACAAGAAGCACTGGTTCAAGGTACAATCAGAGTACTGTTAATCAAATAATTCAGCTTTGTAAAGTCAAAGTCTTATTACTTGAATACTGTGTTAGTACCATGATAATGATAACTAGATAACATTTTGTACATGAGAAATCCTAATGCCAAAAATTGAGACTCCTGTTGCCTGCTAAGTTCAAATGCACTTGTACACTAATGGGTTTGAACTAGTGAAATGTGGGCTAGAGACAGTGCTACTGTTCGTTGGATTTGTAATTGGTTGACTGACCAAACCAAAATGTGGGCTACAGAGCTACTGTTCGGTGGATTTGTAATTAGTTGACTGACCAAACCCAAAGGGTGCTCACCCGGAGAGAGGTAACTAGTGAGGTGCCGCAGGGTTCTGTTCTGGGCCCTGTGCTATTCATCATCTTTATTAATGACTAGGATGAAGGAATAGAGAGTGTGCTGATTAAATTTGCAGATGATACCAAAGTGGGAGGGGTTCCTAACTCCCCAGAGGACAGGATTAAAATTCAAAATGACCTTGACAGATTAGAGTCCTGGGCCAAAACTAACAAAATGAATTTCAGCAGAGAGAAATGTAAGGTCCTACAGCTAGGCAGGAAAAAAAGGGACTGCACAAATATAGGATGGAAGACACCTGGTTAGACAACAGTAACTGTGAAAGGGATCTAGGAATCTTGGTTGGCCACAAACTGAACATGAGTCTGCAGTGTGACTGCCAAGAAAGCCAATGCAATTCTTGGCTGCATCAATAGGAGTATAGTGTCTAGATCAAGGGAAGTGATAATATCACTCTATTCTGCTTTGGTAAGACCTCATCTGGAATATGGTGTCTAGTTCTGGGCACCTCAGTTCAAGAAGGATGTTGACAACCTGGAATGTGTCAAGAGGAGGGTGAGCAAAATGGTCAAAGGTCTTGAAGTCATGTCGTATAAGGACTTAGGGAGCTGCGAATGTTTAGCCTTACAAAAAGAAGGTTAAGAGGGGACATGATAGCCATGTTTAACTATTTGAAGGGATGTCATGTTGAGGAAGGGACAGGTTTGTTTTCCATGGCTCCAGACACTAAAACAAGGAGCAATGGTTTCAAACTACAGAAAAAGAGATTCCACCTGAATCTCAGGAAGAACTTCCTGACAGTCAGAGCTGGTTGGCAGTGGAATATGCTGCCTTGGAGTGTGGTACAGTCTCCTTTGGAGGTTTTTAAGCAGAAGTTGGATGCCATCTCTTGGGAATGCTTTGATGGATTTCCTGCATGGCAGGGGGTTGGACTCGATGGCCCCTGTGGTCTCTTCCAATTCTGTGATTCTGTGACTCTATGACTATGGAAAGAGCACACGTTTTATGTTTTGAAGTCCATGTCCAATTTAAGAAGTCTCCAAGTGGAGGGATCAGGTAGCAGGTGATGGGGGAAAGACTTCTTTACCTGAGATCTCCAAAAGCTATTGTCATTCAGAGCCAACAGTATTGATAAACAAATAGTCTAAGATTGTCAGGATGTCTAATGTTGAATATGTAGGATGTTAATTAAAGAAGGCTTAGAAAATGTAATCCTGGAAATGTTTGTTTTACTTTTAAAATGAGGCTTGAACAACAGTTTACTAAAAGTTGTAAAACAATCCGCCAGCTCTCCAGCTAAGTCTGGGAACAAGGTACATTAACATTGTGTAGAAAAAAGAATTATTTTCATGCCCTAGAGTTGGGCCATCAGAGAAAATTGAAAGTGTATTGAAATACTGTAAGTAGAACATATTTATGTTGTAATGTGTTAATGTGACCAGAGGTGGTGTTTGCAAGTCCTATAATTTGCACTGGAGGTAGTAAGTAACCCTTTGTTCCTTGGATGACAATCAAGAACAGAAGGCTGGATTTTTCATGCTTAGATTGTCCTCTTTTACAAATGTCTAAGGACAGAGTAGAGACAAACATTTGAAATATAGTCTGCTACTCTGCTTTTTTTGTTATTTATAATAAAATCAAGATGTCATCTTGGTATAGTAGCATTGCAGTTCAGGCATTTTGTCCCATGTTGTAGAATCATATTAGTCACACTGCCTTGGTATGAAAATGATAAAAGTCATCGCAGAGGAGCTACTCTGTTGTTAGTTCCCAGTGGCATAAATAATGTATGTGTCCATGAACATGCATTTGAGCTGCATGATATGGAGCTATGTATAATTTCATATACAGTTAATATCTATACATGCCATGTATTTGTGTAGCTAATTTTTCTTAATCTTTTGTATGTGTGTGTGTGTGTCTGTGTCCAAGTTTGTCCACTACCTCCTACAGTGACTCATGGAGATTACATTTGCCATCCACGGCCTTGTGAGCATTACAACCATGGGACTGTGGTTGAATTCTATTGCGACCCTGGCTACACTCTCACCAATGACTACAAATATATCACCTGCCAATATGGAGAATGGTTTCCATCATATCAAGTATACTGCATCAAAACAGGTAAACAACAACAACAATCCACAACTCCCATATAAATATGTAAGTTAGACATTAAGTAGAAGGAAAAAGTCAGGGTTCCTTCTATATAAAAAATGCTGATAAAATATCTAATTCAATGTAACTTTTTTTAAAAAATGTATGTGATTATCTTGATGCATGTCCTTACTTTGGAAATCATTTTGAAAAGGATAATCAAACCAGAAGAAAAGAGAAGTACTGTATGTACTATTAGAGCTGTTATGTCTATAAAGAAAAGTGAATGTAAACCATCATTATCTAACATGATTGTTTTTCATTGCCACCCACAGAACAAAGCTGGCCAAATACACAGGAAACTCTCCTGACAACATGGAAGATTGTGGCATTCACTGCTACCAGTGTACTTCTGGTGCTTCTATTAGTCATTCTTGCTAGAATGTTCCAGACCAAATTTAAGGCACGTTTTCTTCCAAGGTTAGTACTGCTTTTGTTTGGACTTCTTTGTTTCTTTAGGCACCATAGTCATTTCAATCCTCCCATACATGTTACTGGCACAATAGTTGATTCTGTGTTGGTGGGCCTCGTTTTGGGATAGTTTTAGGCATATGATACAACTTGCCTTCTGTCTTGTTATGAACTGTCAAATCAGAATCAACTTATAATAATCCTGTTAGGGCTTTCTGGATAGTTCAGTAGTTTAGGTATCAGGCTGTAGAGCCAGAGGTTGAGAGTTCAATCCACCACTGAGCCTCCTGTGAGTAAAGCCAGCCTGTGTGGCTTAGGGCAAGCTGCACAGTCCCAGGATGCCCCCAGAAGAAGGTAATAGCAAACCACTTCTTAGTATTCTCTACGTAGAAAATGCAGAAAAGGGTCACTGAAGGTCAGAAGTGACTTAATGGCACTTGCTTATTATTAATTGGGTTTTTAAGGTAAGTGATATATTTAAGGAGTGGTTTTGCTAGTTCCGTTCCTCAAGCGTGTCTCCACTTGCAAATGAGCTTACATAGGACGAAGGTTAAAAATTGGTCAGATGCACTTAAGTTAAATTTATAAATTGATTTGGCTTTACCTCTTTGAAAAAGCACACCTATCTTTCTGACTATCTGTTTTCTTTCATACCTACCTGCCTTCTCTCTCTCTCTCTCTCTCTCTTTCATCCCTCCTTCACAAACACACCTGACTTGTAGGACTAGTTCTACATATTTTCACTTCCATAAAACCAATTTTGTGTTCCAGTGGTATAGAGGGATTATTCAAAATAATTTGTTTTTGAGTAAAAATATAGAAGAAAGAGAAGAACCTTTAAGAAGGTAATCATCATGTCTTGCTGTTATGTTTTAGAGAGTTTCAAAAATATTTACCATTTTTATATGAAGTTGGATAAAATCATAAACAAGAGCACACATAATATCGCTCTGAGAGAACTTCATTGGCTCATCTTCACTGCTTAGGTCCTTTTTGAGCTCAGTTCAAAATGTTTCACTTGACCTTTTAACACTGCACACAGCTTGGGGCTCAGACACCTTAAGAATATCTTATCCTGCATCAATCAGCTGGAGGTTAAGATCTTCTTGTGTGGCCTAGCTCTGGCTTACTCGCACTTTCAGATATAAAGCAGCTGGTGCTCAAGTGTGAGGAGGGCCTTTTCTGATTTTGCACTCTGGTTATGGAATTCCCTCCAAAGAAGCATACCGGTGTCTCTTCTTCTTATTGTTCTTCCTGGCTTTTACATATGCAGTTTACTTTTTAAGCATTAATAATTTCATCATGTAGCTCATTCTGGTATTTTAACTACAGTACTTTCATTATTTTTGTTAGTTTGGGATATCTATTTGCCTGCCTGGCTGTCTCAGTATCATGAACTGCCTTGGGATATGTGTTGTCAAGGCCTCTGTACAAATGAAGATGATGATGACTAGAGCACACCTAAACCCTCTGGTTTCAAACTAGGGCAGCTATAAGCTTTACAGCTTGGTTTCAGTGCTCAATCAGTTGGTGATAATGACTAATACAGATCAAATATGTAATTAAAACTACAGTATTTGAGATGACATCACTGTTCTCCATAGGATTTCCCTTACTGTGCCATGAGCTTGCGATTCTGGCAATCTTAATATAGTGCTGAGAGAAGAATGCAAAGAATTCCTTATCTGTGTCTCCCAGCTGCTTGCTTTCCTTCTCTAAAATATTTCTTGGTTGGTGGAATTATTTACTGATTTTGACAAATTACTATCAGTCATGGCAACAGACTCTTCAATAATATTTGAAGTAACTATCTCCCTTTCAGATTATGAAAAGCTATGTATGGGAAATCTGTCTGTAGCTTGAAGATGGTATGTAACTACTATCTTCAGGGATACATACTGAGTCTCCTCACTCTCATTGCAGAGGCGCTCAGGAAAATTGCAGCAGTGGTCCTGATTTCGTGGTGGTGGATGGAGTTCCTGTCATGCTTCCTTCCTACGATGAAGCAGTTAGCAGTGGCTTGAATGCGGTGGCACCCGGCTGTGTGTCCCCTGCAGGCCAGGGGTATATTTTGCAGGCTGATGATCAGAACCCTCCAGCTTATCCTGGACCAGATGATTTGAATAGGTTGCCAGCTGAATTTGATACCTGTGACAGCATTTCAGGTTCTTCTGAACTTCTCCAAAATTTGTATGCACCTTCCGTGTGTCAAATGGGAGCCTATCCTATCTCAGAGAGAACTGATGCAATCAACGGTACTACTGGAGAATTATCATCCACCAGCCCAAGCATTGACATTGCAGATGGTAATTTTGATTTTTGAATATTACATGGGCTTGTTTTAGTCTCAGTTTTCTCCATATGAAGAAGCTGTAAGCTGAAAATGAGATCCCCATTTTCATAAGCAACATAGTCTCTTTGTCTGTTCTGATCTATGTTTGTTTTACTCCTGACATTTTTAAAAAGAACTAATCTTTTACAACTCAAACTTTAATCATCACTGCCATGCATCAGATTCTATCAAGGGTTTGTATCTTAAAGTTCCTTAGCAACAAAAGAAAGTGAGGTGTATGGCTTTGCTGACCACACAGTGTTAAGAGAGCTATTGGGCAACAGTGATTCATGCACCAACTGATTTCCCCACCCTCACACTTTGATTGTGCTCCAACATAGTTCTTAACATTGACTACTGCCTCTTGCAGCATAAAATATAATGGAACACAAGGTGTAACTATGCCTCATCACAAAGGGTAAGGGAAACTTTTCTTTCAGCAAAACATACCTTAAGGCTCAAAACCAATGCTACATACATATCATCAACCAGTGTTAATTAATTAATCAGTGTTAATATTAATGAACCAGGGTTAACATTTTCCCCATTGGGTAGTTTTCTTCCATATATTAGGTGACCCGTGTATCCAGTGGAAGTCCATCCAGTCTCAGAGAGTGGTCTCAGCCTCTGTAGAGGGGGGGAGGGGAGAGAAATCCTGTGAGGAAGGACCTTGGAGGGAAGCCACACATACACCATTTGATCTACCTGAGCACAGGGGAAAAATCACAATGAATGTGCTCATTGAATCACAAGGAAACCTTCCTAAGTATTGTACCATCTTGTCTGAAAGAACAATATAATTGTAGTATTGATTTTTTTTTCAGTATCAGCTTGTGAATTTGTGGTATGCTTGCTCAGTGTCCACTGCCAAGTAAAAGAATGGTAGCCAAGTAGTGTCAACTATCCATTATAAGTAAGAAAAGATCGGTGTTGTTACATAGTCATCAACACCAACTCATTTTATTTTGGGGATCTTTTGTTCTGTGAATGCCAAGTGCATCAAGATCACTCTTGGGATCAACATTTGATAGATTCCACTGCAATATGATATCAGTTACCTCTAACATTTGGTTTGCTGAAGGATTGGTGGTCTCTTAAACCATTGCACATGGAAATGTTTTGTACAACCTGCTAATTCAGATGACCCAAAATTAGTGATAAATGGATGCCAAAATTCACATATATGAGTTAAGTGCAAAAAAAATTAGATCTTCATTGAATTCTCATCCTAAAAGCAGGGTAACCTGAGGACTGCTAAAATGCACAGCCACCTGAAAGAAGCTTTGAACTAATTGGGCTGACAGGTATGAAGCCACCAACTCTTTGATTGCAAAAGTGCAGTAAAGCTGGAAAAATGCATAAATCCATGCATAATTGAGTGCCTTAACTGCTTAGTTACAGTGGTCCTGCTGGTGGCATGTTATAGCCCAATTAAATTTCAGGTCCTCCCATCAGAGTCCACAATTAAAACCCAATTAACTCTTTCTTTTATTTTCTAGAAATTCCATTGATGGATGAAGACCCTTAATCTGCACAAATCTTGCTCATACTTTTGTTGGGGGGTTGGGGGAAAGAATTATGCACATATGTATACATACATACCTATATATCTAAATAAATCTCTATATAAAGACTGATTAAAGATGTGGGGTGGGTATTTTATAAATCTTCCATGTTATGATGTCACAGATTTTGTGTGCATATCTTAATCAACTTGGAGGTTGAGAGCATTCAACAGCAGCTTTACGAAATGAATCCTGAGGATTTGATGAGAATAGTCACTACAAAAGAACAATAAATTCATGGAATAGTGATGAGTGTATCTGCATCGCAGGAAGTCTTTTAACAACTCTTTAGAAACATCAGTGAGAGTGATTTGTGGTACAGGTACAAAATGCCTAATAAAAGCATATGAGATTGTGTAAATTTTGTTTTATGAAAGCTGCTTCATATTTATGACGAACCACAATTTGCAAAATTTATTGGTGAGAAAATAAACAATGTTGAAAGTAAAATCAGAGAGCACTCCTGAATGGTCTGTATTTATTAAGCTTGCAATGGGAAACCTGAATTCACTGGGTTATCATTTAATGAGGTGGCTGCAGCAAATAATATACCTGAGTCCAAGAAAAAGCATAATTATTTGGGTAACAAATTACAAAATAAAAGTTTTCAGTTATGATCAAAAGAAGTGTTCTAAATACTGTATGTAAGACTGTATGAAATGTTTAAGATAAAGCAAAAGTAATGTATTCATGAAACAAATTCACAAGTATATTACATTCGATTTTATTATCTTATTAATCTCTTTATGTTTTAAAAGAAAACATTTCCCAGAATCATACAAATGTCAAAGTAGTACTATTTCTAAGGGATTCCATGTTGTAGCAAATGTGGATATTTGGATGCTGACTGGACTGGAACTGAAACGGCAATTGACAAAGCTGCAAACCAAAAGAATAGGGGGGTGGGACCCAGAAACTAGGAATCTGGGAGTAATTAATTGAATCAGGAACTTATGGGATAAATTAATTGGCCTGCCTCAGCAACTTGCAGTATAGTATCTGGGAGCAGGTTTTGATAGCCTCACTGTCTAGCTGGAACTCGAGGTTTTTTTGGGGGGGGTAGGATGCATGAACACTCTGCAGAATTGTGTTAGAGCTTTCACTTAGTGTAGGTATATTTTGCAACATTATTCACTTATCTAGTTCTTTAGGATAAATAAAACCAAGACAGGGCAAGCTCTGGGTGACGGGGGACCATTTTTATAACTCAAGGACCTTCCAGGATTGGCTTCAGCCATTCCACTTGTAAAAAATAACAGATTTTTTTGTGAAAAAAAGTTGGGGTTACCCATGCTCTGGAGGGGAAGAACTGCTCTTGGAGGCTTCCAAGGACAGCATTTCTTATTTTTGGGCAACAGCTCCCTCCAAATATGTGTTGTTGGATATGTGGAGTCCAAATTGGTCATCAGGTCCCCAAACCAGCCTTGGGAATTTGGAGCAGGAATAAAAGTATTGTTGGAAACAAAGATATTGGGGAGTAAAAGTGTCTTTGAATTTCTAATGCAGTGGGCCACCTATAGCTGAACCTGATGACCCCTGTGTTGTCATCTATTCAGTTCCATAATTAATCAAGCACAGAAGGCCTGCTTGATTAAGGGGAAGGCCTGCCGAAACATCATCAAGCACAGAAAAATTTTATCTGATGCTATTGGAAAAGATCAGTCTACATCCCAATCCCAAAGAAAGGCAATGCCAAAGAATGCTCCAACTACCGTACAATTGCATTCATTTCACACGCTAACAAAGTTATGCTCAAAACCCTCCAAGGTAGGCTTCAGCAGTATGTGGACCAAGAACTCCCAGAGGTACAAGCTGAATTTTGAAGGGGCAGAGGAACTAGAGACCAAATTGCTAACATGTGCTGGATTATGGAGAAAGCCAAAGAGTTCCAGAAAAACATCTACTTCTGCTTCATTGACTACGCAAAAGACTAGCCGCCTAGAGTGGTCACAATGTCCAGATAGGCGGGGTATAAATGGAAATTTTTTCACACCACTGCCGCAGCATTCTGCACCACCTGTAGTTTCCGCAGCGGCCTCAAAGGCAGCCCCACGTAGAGCGCATTGCAGTGGTTTAATCTTGAGATTACAAGTGCATGCACCAAGGTAGTGAGGGGCCCCACGTCGAGATAGGGACGCAGTTGGGCTATCCGCCTAGTACTACTACTACTACTACTACTATGATGATGATAATGTACTGTCAAATCAATTCAGACTTACAGTGACTTTTTTCAGGGTTTTCCAGGTAGAAGCAGTTTGCCATTCCCTTCTTCTGAGACAGTGCAGCTTGCCCACAGTGGAAAATGACAGTGTAATAAAAGTATCACCCATCCTTGTTTTTGGATTGTGTACAAGGAACACATGATTCTCCCATTTTTAAAATTTAGTTCAGATTTAAATAGTTCATTACTGCCTACTCAGCAATGTGAGGTGGGCGTTAAGTCTTTTCTCCGTGTTCCATAAGTCTGACAAATATCCACCCCCATGAAAGCAACAGGTCCCAAATGTTGTATGACTCAGTAGAGAAAGTTCTCATTAGTGTCATTGTCAACAATAACAACAAATACCCTGGGAAAGGTTTGTTTTTTCCCATTTATCCTGTGTGTAAGTTACTGCTTCAGAAACTATTGCAGAAACTGAAGTCAACTCACATAGGCTTCCTGGTTCCAAGCTGAAGCATTTAAAGTGAAGCACAACCACCAGGCATAATGATATTTTGGATACAGGTAGACAAACTGATAAGAATGCTGATTGCTTCCCAAATATGTGACTGTGTGTGAGTTTTGCTTTTGATTTCTCTATTACAAAGTACAGTATGTTTAATTTCTGAAAATAATTTTCCTTGATGTGGAAAATGGAATTTCTCATGTTATGCAAACATATAAACACTGATATGTGCTTTTGATATATTCATTATATAGGGGTTCATCATTCATCATTAGGGGTTCAATTCATCATTAGAGGTTGAATTTGCATGTGGGGGAAAATGGTCCTTTCAAGATCACTGTTCAAACAGATTTTCCCCATATGCAAACCCATTGGTTCAAGCCATTCATTTACCCTTTGCAGTATGTTAAGCAATGGGTGAACATGTGGCCTTCAAGATCTTGTTGGACTGGAGTTCCCATCACCCCTCTCACTTTTGAGTATCCTGATTACAGCTGATGGGAGTTGGAGTTCAGCATGGCTACATGTTCCCCAGTCCTCCTTTTATTAAGCTGTTAACTATGTTAATATGTACAGTAAATTGTTTTAGAGAAGATGCATATAAATACTTAGCAAGTTTTAAAATTTAATTTGAAAAATGCAGAGGCAATCACAGTTCAAATACAATGATTATCCTATGGTGCTGTGGTGCAAAAGCAATTTGATACAGTAATTATTCTCAGCCTAAGCTTTTTATATATATAAATATCCACATACATAGTGAAAATGTTCTAAAGAGCCCATACTGTAAGTACACAAGGATGCAACAGACAAATATATTAGGCATGAGGGATGGCAGAGTTGTGCAGGTTGACTATGGAGCAGTTGTGCCTTGTAACTTAAATACAATGGCTTATAGGGAAAATACAAAATGCTAACAATAAGTCCCAGAAAAAGCTATGGAAATGAATTTGCAATGCAGAACTATTTAGATTACTTTTATCTGTCTAAAAGCGATGACCATTTAACATAATGCTGTGGATAATCATCTTTGTGACACTGTGGCGGCCTTGAATGAACAACAGCCTTGCCTCTCTGTGCAGACTGGCCCTTTTAGTGTGGGTTGGTCCAGTCTAAATAGGGTCAATTGAGGTAGGGGTGGGTAGGGACATGCCATTTAGTGCAATCCTCACATCCAAATATCATAAAGAGAGAGGGGCAACCTATACATGGCAGTGCAAAGGGAGAAAATGCAGCCAATCAAAAGCAGACAGACACCCAACTGCTATTTGCACTCACATTTGGCTAAGTTTGGAGAGGGGGAGGGAGGGGAAGGGGTGTCAGAGAGAAAGGGCCAGGCATGCAGAGAAGGGCCATGTGCAGTCTCCTACCACCTCCCCCAAATCTCACCAATGGAAACAAAAGAAAGGGATCCCCCCGCTGCCACCATTTGCACCTTGCATTACACACAAACGCACACAAAAGAAGAGACAGGGATTCCTTGGAGAGTGTAAAAAAAATTTAAAGAAAAGGTTTATGTGAATCCAAATGTTACCCAAACGGGTTACTGTTCTTTATATCCTGGGGGGAGAGACCATTAGAGAAGAGAAAGAGCCAGGCCAGACTACTGACAAGAAGACCAATAATTTTGCCTTAAGCACTATTCATGTAACATTTATTGATGAGACGTAAGACATGGGATATAAGACAAAAGGTACCAAGAGGCCTCTCATTCATACTTCCCATTCATGCAAGATACTCACTCATCCAAAAGGCCCTTCTCTGGGAATGGCCAGTCCTTAGAGAGGGGGATGGGAGCAATCTTTGCAGCGCTGTCAAAGCCCACCTGTCTCTTCCTGGGTCATCCTTCTTATAGGCATAGTGGGCAAGCAGGGATCAGACTGGTTTCCTGGGTGGATACCATCTGTTGCCATGCAGGAATGCTTGCTTTCATGTGTATAGCTTGTTCCATCAGCCACAGACTTGGCTTCAGCTGGTCTGCTTCCTCTTTCTTATCTGGACAACTGGTTATAGCCAACCTTCTTCCTTTTTTCTCTCTGCACAAACATGTCCACGTTTAGAATGTTCTTTCCAGGTCTGCGGTTTCTTACTGATACAGAAACTCGAACTCTTGCAACTCTTTGCAGATTTGTATCAGGCTCACCATCCCATCTTTCCTTGTGATTTCTCCATCTTCTTCTCAAGTCTGGGGGTGCTGGTCTTTCTGTGACACACACTCTGTCACACTCTGTCACTCATAACACAAACAAGAGACCTCCCCAACAGGATCTCTGTGTCCATGTAAAAATAAAAGAGAAACATAACACTGCTGAGGATTCCCACATACCTCTCCATTTGCACTGTGCCTTTGGACCTACTCACCTTTTTGACCTCTGTTTTGCATGCAACAGACAAACCCTCCCTCACAAAAAAAGGGGGGGAGAAAAAAGACAAAACCCAATGTGTCTTTGCTTTCTTAATTGTTCCATTTGCTTATATCCTGAAGCGACTTGTTTACTAAAAGCAAAGTAAAAAAATCAAAGTGTGCTGCTTATATACTGCCCCATAGCACTTCAAACACTCTGGGTGATTTACAAGTTAATTATGCAAGTGACACATTACACACACACCCCCAATACAGTATGTCCAGAGAGCATCTCTCCTCATTTGCGGTGTTGCTGGAGCAGATTGGCCTGCTTTTTTTTCAGTGTCAACACGACAAGTGGACCAATTTGCTTCCAAGGAATCTCCAAACTGTGCCTTCTTGAGCCCGTCAGGGCTTCTACTTTTTTGGTGTGGGTTGGTGTG